GATCTCCTGGAAGGGAATTGATCAGTCTCAGCGAAAGGTGCAAGCTTTGAGGCATGAAAGACTGGGTGAGTGCGTAGGTGTCCAGGGACACGAATGACATATGTGGGACCATCCAACTCATCTCCCACTATATCCAAGACTTCCCAGGGACCAAAGTACCGAGGCATTAGTTTGCGAGATATTCTGAACTCCTGTCCTAACTCACTAGCCTTGACCCAAACACGTTCCCCTACCTGAAATGTGGACTGTCTGCGATGTTGATTCTCAGAAGCAATCATGGCTTGCTGAGCCTTCTTCATATGTTCAACAGCCTCTTGCAGCAAYTTCTCATATTGCACACCGTATTCAAGTGTGCCTGGAGTTGCAGCGGGTCGGTTTTCAGGTAGGAGGAAGTCTAGTGCTGATCTAGGCTTCCATCCTAAGTGCAGCTGGTTAGGACTAACGTCGGTACTGCTATGTATAGCATTGTTGTACAGGCTGGCGATGAGAGGTAACTGCTCATCCCAGTCATCCTGGCTGGGCTTGATGTAGTGCCTCAACAAGTGTTGTACAACTCTATTCATTTGTTCGGCCTGTCCGTTGGCTTCGGGATGATTCCCTGAAGTCATCTGAAGTTGACTGCCCATCTGTTCCGCAGTCTTCTTCCACAGCTCACTTGTGAATCGGACGTCTCGATCACTAATGATGGTCTTTGGTAAACCAAAGTCCCTTACCCAGTTGTCCTTGAACAACTTGATGACGTATTCCGTCCTGGCTGTCTCTGGCATTGGTATTAGTCTAGCGTACTTGGTGAATTTGTCAATGATGACGAAATGTGCCTCTTACCACTCTTGCTGGTCACTAGGGTGTCCATGAAATCCATGAAAACACTCAGTCGTGGACCATCAGGAATAGGTAAAGGCTTTAATAACCCAAGCGGTGCTTGAGTTCACGGCTTGTCCCGCTGACAGACCTGACAGGTCTCAACATACTTCTTGGCTTCATCAAACATACCAGGCCACCAAAATCGTTGTACTAGGTTAGCACTCGCCTTCTTGTAGCCAAAGTGTCCCGTTGCGTCATGGCATTCTCCTAAAAACAAACTACGCAAAGGTTCACTAGATGGAACTACCAATCTCTTTATTCCGGCCTTCTCAAGATAGATTAACCCATCCACCATCACAAACTCACTTTCCGTGGCCTTGTCTTTTGCTTGAAGTTTGCGGATGATGTCCATCGTGACAGGGTGTTCCTGATAGGCTCCCACCAATGATTGAGTTACTTCATTAGATACGCCAAATTCAGAAACTAGCGCATCTAGGTAGTCTGCTCTACGGGATAGCGCGTCTGCAACCTTGTTGTACTCTCCCTTCAGGTACTCAAGCTTGAAGTCATATTGGTCTATGACCTCAATCCATCGCTTGAGTGCATCAGAAAGAGCCGGTTGAGTCTTGATCTATTTGAGGGTCTAATGATCAGTCCTCAGATAGAAGAACCTTCCGAAAAGGAAGTGTCTCCAATGGACAAGTGCCTTGTACAGAGCATAGAGTTCCCTTTCGTAGGTGGACTTAGCCAACTTCTTCGATGGCATCTTCTTACTCATGTACTCAATCGGTCTCAACTTTTTCCCATCCTGCTGAGCCAGCACTGCACCAATGCCGTATTGGCTTGCGTCAGTGGTCACTATGAATGACTTCTGCGGATCGGGAACCATGAGAACTTCATGATTCATGAGTGCATGCTTCAATCTCTTGAAAGCACCCTCGCACTCATCACTCCAGTCCCACGGTGTGTCAAGTCGAGTTAAATCAGTCAAAGGAGAGGCGATTGTAGAATAGTTCTTTACGAAGTTCCTATAATAGCCGCACATTCCTAAGAATGACCTGACCTCAGTGACAGTCTGAGGTCGTGGCCAGTCTCGAATACTAGCCACCTTCGCATCTTCCGGCCTAATTCCCTCCGCGGATACTTCGTGACCCAAGTATAGTATTTTAGTGCGACCGAACTCACACTTCTCTAAGTTGACCTTATACTTGTGCTGTCGTAGGAGTGAGAGAACTGTCTCAACTTGCTTTGCATGCTCCTCAGCAGACTTACTAAAGATCAGAATGTCGTCTAAGTAGACCACGACAAACTTATCTAAATGGTCATGGAAGATCCGATTCATAGCGTGCTGGAACGTACCCGGCGCATCACAAAGACCAAAGGGCATCACTACAAACTCATACAGACCATAACGAGTCTGAAAAGCTGTCTTGTGTTGGTCCTCAGGTCTTATTGCGATCTGGTGATATCCGGATTTCAAGTCTATCTTGCTATAGTACTTGCATTCCTGCACCCTATCCAATAGGTCGTCTATGCGAGGTAGAGGCTCTGCGTTCTTCACAGTGATGGCATTGAGGCCTCTATAGTCAATGCACATCCTCAAAGTACCCCCCTTCTTCGGTACGAATAGCACGGGCGATCCGTAAGGGGAAGTACTAGGCCGAATCCATCCCTTCTCTGTCAGCTCCTCGAGTTGCTTCCGAAGTTCATCTAACTCGGCAGGGGCCATCCTATAGATCCTTCCCTTTGGGGTCTTACTCCCTGGAATGATTT